CCTCGCGCTCGATTAATAAGAAGTTATTTATAAATCACACGATCTTATTCAGCGTTATCGACGTTAGGCTCATTGGCATTGCTTGTTAGAAAAAAGGGAAATGCAGTTTACTTGTTCTTATCAACAACTGCATTTTGTTAAACAATTCAATGTTTTCACTATGCAGAATTCTCGTATTGACGCATTTCATACTATCATGCACTGAGTGATTTGATATTTAGCCCCCTCTTAAAATGACAGCTATTTTGATACAAGCCTGCGATTCCATATAAGAATTAGGAAAGAGGTATAATCCATGAATGTAGGCCGTTTTTGTAACATCACTAGGCATTTTAAGACACTGGTCTTGACGGATTACGACCAGTGTAAAGCGTTTGCCTAATAAATAAACGTTTGTCGAGCTTACGTGAAGTTTTAGACAACACGAACGGCATGAGCAATGTCAAAAGACTGGGTCAAGGATTGTGATTGGTGAAAAACAAAAACTTTACTTCCGGTCAACGTACGTGTTGTCAAAAACGTTACTTGCTTGAGTTCATTAATGTTTTATTAGATTTATTATGATAATAAAGAGGTTAAGATACCCGTAAAAGAGAGAAACACTGATGGAAATTCATTGAACAAAATAAGGCTATCCGTACCCGTACACCGGAACCGGGGTATCTTAACCTCTCTATTTATTAACATCATAATTACCAAAAAGCTAATGCATAGAAGTACCGATTATCCATTCAGGACGACGTTTTACTCAGTCTAATTAAACTAAGACGGGTTTAAAACGGCGCTTTCTAACTTGGAAAGTTATTTGATGATGTGCATGGTTCATAAACAAGCACGATAATGGTGTTTTTCCAATGGTCGACATGTCATGCATAACAGGGTTCGCCAGTGGATTGCGCTTATATGCGTCTAAAATGCTAGTAAAGCCCATCGCACACGAGAGCTATCAGCTGAGCTAACGACCTCGCGAGGCAGTTAGTTCAGCCCGCCCGCACACGAGAGAACCTTGCCTCTCCAGACGAATTCCTCACAAAAACTATCGCACACGAGAGATTAAACTTGCTGAGCTAACAGACTCGTGGGGTATTTATTTAGCCAGCGCTGTTCGAAAACGCATACGTATTGCGCAAGATTTGACACGCTTAAACACGTAAGAAATCATTTGCTTGTGTCATATCGATGAGTGAAAGATAATGCACGGAACTTGTTCTCGGTTGTCATGAAGTAATGAAATATACCTGCGAGCCTAATTTTGAGAAACGTAATAGGCAGCACTCGCAATAACAATCAGTCAAATCCCTCACGGAAAGGAAGGTTTTTTGTCCTTTTCAACCTAGTCAAAATAACTTTCGGCTTCGCTTTTGAGAAACTAAACTTTTTTTATCATATATATTTTACCAACAACTATGCGCTTTAACTATTCAATTAAGTATTTATGAGTTACGACCACTTTCACGCAAGAGAGAAATAATATATTAGCTTCGTTTTTTATATTATTGAGAGTGCGCGGGTACGTGGTGTAGTGAGACTATATTATGTGGACTACAAAAAAAGGCGGTTGAGAAGGAGGATTTAAGATCATTTTATAATAGATATTTTCATGTACGTTACAAAAGGTACGGTTTAAACCCGCCGCACACAGCTGAGCTAAAGATCTCGTGTGGCTGTTAGCTCATGGTTTTCGGGCTGAGCTAACTGCCTCGCGAAATCGTTAGCACAGCTGATAGCTCTTGTTTGCGGCGGGTTTAATGTCAAAAGTGCATTAATCGATAAGTGCATTATTCAACAAGAGTATGACATCGCAATAAAAATGATAAAATATTCAATGTCTAGTCGTTGTTATATAAAAGTAACAGAATAAAATTTTCCGCACGTCATGTGTACTGCAGTAATGCACAGCGGACGCTCCAGCGTTCAGAAGACAAAAATGTTGCGGCCTTCTCCTGCTACTCGTGCGTGATTTTGTCTTTTTTTTCTTTTCCCGCAAGATATTAAACCAGAAATTATTACTGCACAAATGCGCATGCTCATTACAATCAATAGAGTATAAAATAATATATTCATAACTGGCATAATTACGCCAAGATCTGCTGACTTATAACCTGCTTTGTTGATTGCATGTAAGCGTCATTTCAGCGACTGCTTGTCGAAGTAAGCACAGTTGACGACCTTGTGAAATCATATTTAAAGAAATAATCTTGATCTTACTGATAATCAAAATTGCACGTATATCTTCACAGAAATGTTCTTCGGGGATTTTTATTACTTTTAGAAAAGGTATTACCTCGGTTGCTTTTTCTTAGTTAAAACGAATCGGGTTCCTAGTGTTGGAGAACTTTTTTCTTTGAAAATTTCCTTTCCCTAACCATTTTTGCTACTTTTAGGAGGCCCGTCTTTACCTCCAGAAGTAATCATATCAAATCATACCGTCAATAAAAAAATTCCCCCGATAGAATGTTACGAGCTCTCCCAAAAGGAACCGAAATTAGATGTGTTGGATTCAACTACAGGGGCAAGTTCAATGTTGTGAACTGCCAACTGGCAAACATCTCTGGAAAAAGAAATGACGTTGAAACAACGGAAGAAATTTTAGATTTGCAAAGTTACTGTTTATAAAGAGCTGGTGTGGAGAGAACATATAGAGGAAAAGTCGTAAAATTAAACCTTTAAGTTAGGCAGCAAAACAGGGCCTCTTTTAACATATAGACTGGGGGGAAATTGCCCCCCCAGCCCCCCTTACTTCCCCCCCCAGTCGGCAATTTTTCCCCCCCAGTAGAAAGTCCCTTTTCATATTTTTGGTGTGAAAATAACTCCCAAAGTTAATATTGGACAACATATTAATTAATCCGTATTCCAGTATTCCTTTCGCAGAATCTCAACCTCAGGCTCTCTTGCCCTATAGTGTAGCGAAACCTATTTTTAAATTAGTAACTGAAATTTTATGGACTTTAATAGATTTTTTCAGGTCCCCTTTTTACGTTATTTCAGGTCCCTTGGGGAAAATGTCCCACCCAGTTACATATCCTTAAAAGAGGCCCTGCAGCAAAATGAAATGAAACGAAGGATAACTAAGAATGCGTGTGATGTAAACGAGACTTTATCGCCGGTAGATTGTAGTGAGATTTATTGAAATCTATAAACCACTCAATAGTACGTTAAGTGCTGTGTTACTGAAATATTTGGGCCCACAGTAATAAGCTTTCATCATACATCATTGAGATTATTATTCGTAGCATTTCGGCCAATCACCCGGTCATTGTCGTCCCCATGGCCGGGCTCCATGTGCGAAAAGCAAGGGGACCAGGGTGGCCAGATTTTGGCAGTTTTATGCTATATTCGGTGATTCGGTCGGATGTACATAAATCAGACCCACTTGATTTTAATAATTATACAAAATTTATTCGAGGAGGGGACTTGCTTATAAAATATTAATATATGGTCACACTACTTGGAACGAGGATGTCACCCGGTCTAACTTAATTTCGTCAAGGTCAGCTGTCAATTACTTGAAGACTTTCAAGTAAACAACCGAAAAATAGTGGGTTAAATAAATGATTATACAAATATAGTTAATTGCTTTGTTTAGAATTAATTCTAAACGCATGCAGTAAGCTGTATTTTAAAAAAAATTTCAAGCTACAAAAGCATTCAATCACACTTCGGTGACTTGAAGCAACAAAATATGATCATAGTATAAATGAATCACTTTAAATTCATGTTCCTACCGTCATTGAACACAAGTTTGTGTCCAAATTTACAAATTCTCCAGATTTAACGCCAAAGGATTGTTCTCACACACGACTGCATGCTTCATTTTCTCGCCCACTTTGCCAGTCTTCAAATATGCGAACTCCCCAACGATTTTAAAGCGCGTTGTTTGTGGAAAGGAATTTATCACGTTCTATATCGTAGTTTTCTGGCACGCTTTGAAGATCTCGAAATCTCCTCTTCCTGCTGCTAAAAGCCACCCTTCACTCACACGATGGCGAACGAATACTAAATCTAGTTCGAACAACTCTATTTCCTTCCATTCGGTCATTCACGCGCATTCGCTTGATTGAAAACCCTAAATCCCTACTCACACAGCCTCAATAATATGAATATCTTCTAATGATGGGTGATAAGCTATTTCAAATCCTCGTTAGTGTTTTAGGCCTAGGTTATACGTCTCTTTTTGGTCGCGTCGAATGCAATTAATTCAATTCAAACAAATACATGAGATGAGATAGCAATGAAGCTTAATGAGGTTTATCATCTCATTATCGATTGTATGAATTGCATTCGACGCGACGAAAATGCGACGTATAATCTAGGCCTTAGACTCGGCTTCGAAATTCCAAAGTGGCACGAGCAATGGTTGACTGCGCCTATTCATTGTTAATGGCACTTGGATTTAGAAATGATTTAATTTGCGGGCGTAAATTTGAAATATAATGGGTTTCTCCCAAAAAAGTCTCCCCTATTGAAATGAAGCTTTTGTTGGAATTTTAATGCATGATCAACGCAGTCGTGTGTAAACAGCGTAGTTATTAGGTCGAGGCATTCAAATGAAGCGTCTTACTTTCAATTGGGGTTATCATATATAATATCAAGGCAATCACATTATAACAAAGGCTTTATTTCAATATAGAGGGGACTTTTTTTAGGACACCCTGTAGAAGCTCACCCTGTAAAAGTCGAGTGAAGTGCTACAAATCTTAATTGATTTAACCTCATACTTCAGATTTACTCAAAGATATTTAATTAAAAATTTAAAAGAATTGGAATATTGGGCATTCGTGCTACTTTAGCTTATTCTCGGCACGTAATTTAGTCTTTGTAACCGGAGTTTTACGAAATATTAAACTATCTGTATTTATCTAATGGCATGAATAATGATGATCGAAGTTTTTGGTAATGGTGCAATTAAATAAATGAAACATTATATCGAGATGACAGATCGGAATGTAATTTTTTCAGAATGTCATAGATTTTTAATTATTTTTTAGATCTTTTATTACTCACTGGTAAGGTCGGAAACAGTTTAGTTAGCCGCATTTATTTCAGAAGCGTTTTGTGGGAATTAACGTCGTTGAATGTGATATGAGGTAAGTTTACATTCTACTTTGATTTTCACGGAAAAGACTACGACGGCTAAGACAGCGAATTAATGCATGCGTACCGAATGTTTGTGATATTTATATGACGCAGTCGAAATGGACTTGTAATTGCTTTAGAGCGTTTTTTGTTTTTCATCGTCGAAAATCTCCGTTGCAATCCCATTACTAACAAAACGTTTCAGAAAAATAAATTGTGCGTTGTATAGCATAGTTTTGTTTATTTAACGACAACTGTTTCAGCCATAAATATAACACAGAACTTGCTTCGTAATTAATTCAACACATATTAATAACATAAATATTTGGTATTTGAGTGTGTTTATCACAATCGTCTATATCAATATGTGCCCAGCCCCAGATGAGAAATCATAACGCATATTGTGTTGTGTTGTGCATTAAAAGATTTAAAATCATTAAAAGATTTAAAACCATGCTATAAATTCTTTCATTTCATTGTGAAAACCTAATGTTATAAGAAACCAAGTATTTTTGATATGAACGCTTTAGCATGTCCTGACCCGAGTGACCTCGGCTCTAAGGTTTGACTATCTATATAGTAAACAGTGGATTGCCATTTGGTGTATGGTAAAGATAAGACATAACACTACTTGAAACTGGAGTAATTTTTGTACTGATTTTCAAATCAAAACTGGTAAACCAATATAGCTAAGTATTCAGTACTTTTTTCAGTATTGTTTGCTTGTTGTTTGCTTGTTGTTTACCGTACAAAAACAACTTTCTCGTATAGCGCAATAAACATGCTTCGTTTTGAACTGCTGGTAATTAATGTTCTGATCATGATCACATGGATCTCATTTGTCTCTCCTGAAAAAAAGGTCAGATAATCTCGAGGTTATAATGATTTTATTAGTTTTTATTTGTAATTTCATCATTGTTTCTTTCAATTTAATTCATTAAACAAAGTTGTTTCTCTCGAATCATCCAAGCGAAATCAAAATCAAATTTTTGATGTATCTTGACAGATTGTGGACATTCAAACAGGTTATGATCCTGGCTCGTGTACCAAGAAGGAACGTGGTTTGTTAAAATTGATCAAAGATCGTTCAAATAATGATAAACTGTTAATTTGCGCTGAACGAAATGGAGTTTATGCCTGGAAAACAACGGACGGTAACGTTTCGAGTGTAACGTGTTCTGAAAGTTCCAGAATTCTTTGTCGATTCCCGACCATTTTGTGCAGTTTTTCGAACCGCTAAATGAACAATCATTTCCATTCTAGGTTCCAGTCCCTCTGGCGAATATTTTAACCTCGGCTACGACTGCACGGATATTCTGAATAAGAATTTTGAGTCTCTAAATGGATTTTATTGGATAAATTTGAATCGAGGTGCTCCCAAGAGGGTTGGTAAATTTATTATTGGTCCTCTTTATAAATCGATCCCGAGTTTTGATATATTCAGCTGGTTTTGCCCGATGAATTTCTTTTGTAAGTGGAATAGCTGACAAATGATAATAGAAATCCGACGGGCAGAAATGGATATATAAATACTCCCCCCCCCTCAATCATCGTTCTAGTTACGCCCTAGATCAAGCAGTGCTATTTCCTGCCCATTCTTAATTGCTCATTTTTACCGCAGGTCTATTGTGACATGACAACAGATGGAGGGGGATTTGCGCTTGTTGGTAAACTCAACAGTTCTGTAACATGGAAAGTTCCGTCTAAAAACACAACAGTTGTTCCATTTGGTGAATCTCAGTGGTCGAGTGATCTCGGTGACGCTCAAGTTCTTGATTTCAGAATACAAATATCCACAACAGAAAACCTAGCTAAAGCAAATGCTCACTGGTAATAATAAATTAATGAATTAAAATTATTGTCTGTTGAAAATCTAATATCAGTCTCCAAACTGCTTTGAGTCACATACCACCACGGTACATCAAGAAAACACCTTCCTAAACACCTTCTGTCAATGAGTCAATCTGAGATCAAATTATTCCATCGCTTGAGTCTTCAATATTCCAGTAACTGAATATTTATGCACTCAAAATATCTTTCTAAACCAAAACATCTTCCTAAAAATTATTCCTTATCTTGGCAGGTCCTACAGACTGCGAAATACCCGTCCTCTTAAAAATATCATGATTGTTAATCAGGGGGGTTGTGGAGCAACATCACCAGGCATTGGTGATATCGCTTATGTCAAAGATCTCCGGACTGAGAAAATTGTCACGACAAAATTTCGCTGCTCACAGTTTGGACTACATCAACACTTTTTTCTGAAAATTGGATGGGTTGGTATTTAACGTTGTTGTTCATTGTCCTGTTTAGAATTTTACTGATAGTTCGACGAACCGTTTGTTGGTATATTTCATTGCTTTTGATATTAAAAGAAACGAGAATTTTTCATTTGCTTAGTTCCTGAAATACACAAATCTAATACATTAATTTCCATTTATTTTCAGGCAATGATGAACGAATGCTTCGAAAAACAATGTCCTCAAGGTTTTGCTTTTCATCGAAAGTTTCCCATTCAAACTGACTCGTCGGGATCTTTCAGGTATAACTTAGCAACGACATTTAGATGCACTAACTGTATCTTATTTTTATATGGGTCAAGGGGGCAAAAAGGCATGCTGATTTGGAATCATTTCTAAAAACTATACCCTGCCAAAAGGGAAATTGCACCTTAACTTACTCAACGGTTCTAAAACCTTTCAAATTAAACAGAATGATGTATTCCGGATATATTGCTTTTAAAAAAACTTGCTATGAAGGCTTTGTTTTATAGTCAACAACGGTTTTCAGTGTCTTCATAGAATAGAATAGATTGTGCAGTGGAGATGTTTACAAAAGTTGAAATCACATGATGCACGAAATCAACAACAAATAATTTTTTGACCATTTCTGTACATTACAGCTACAGTGTGTTAGCGAAACATCTGGAATCAGTCGCAATACAACCGCATTTATCGGCTGTGACAAAGGAGTGGTACGTCAACAGAACTGTTGTCATTCCAGACTTTGTAGACTATAAATTCTCTAAACCATGCATTATATTGTGGATACGTTAGCATTTTTAAACAAGGCTTCAAACTGGCTTTGATGGCTTGTAGGCGTATAAACCGTGACTTCTAGTTATGATAAAGTGTTTAGTCCATGTATGCACAAATAATTTAATCCAAGGTGTCTCAATTTTAGTGCTGCAGTTGTTTTAGTCTACCAGATAGCACAGACGATCTCTGTGGCACCGATTGTAAGGCAAAACCTGGCGCAAATGTGGTAAAGAATGTTTATTCATGGTTCTGGGTGAGGACATCTTCTCCAAAGAAAGTTTGGAACAAATGCATGGAATTTAAAGTTTCCGAAGCGAACGGAGACGAGGTCTGGTACAAGTTATTTGGTCAAAACGTTGTCCCCAAGAGGGTAAGTTAGCACGAACTTTGCTTTCTTGTCCGTGGTAGAATGCGGCCGGGCCTCCCAAGTGATCATGTATTACTTTCTTTTAGGGTCGTTGTTCCAGAAACGAGCCGCTTTTGACTGATGGAGTAAGTAATAACATAATATAATATTTGAATCATTCCTATCAATTGTTGTTGTGCTATCTATTGTATACTATTTTTCTAGCATTAATAAAAGAATTTTTGAATTTCCATTTCTATCCCAGATTATAGTTGTTCCTGATAATAAGACAGTTGGTAAAATTCCAGCAGTCCAAGGAATATTAAAATTTCGAAAGGACAATCAAAAACTTTATGTAAGATCAAATGAAAGATGGAATGCAATTGCAGAAGAGAAAAAGGCAGTTACTACATTTTGGAGCCATCTGTATAATATCATTTTTTCACCTTTCCTATTCAAGCTTGTAACTACTAATCAATAATAATTTCAAACCTTATCTAATTAAACCTTATCTAATCCAATCTTAGTATTTTTAGTCCAAAATTTCTCGCTTTTCTTTTGCTTTTACTTTCCCTTTTTGCACAGTCCCGTGTTATATAGCTGGCTAACCTATCATCAAAGCCTCAAAATTTATATAAGTAATCATGCGATGGCGAGTACAAATCGGGATTAATATAGTAAGAGTGATGTTTAGAAATTTGGCCAAAATTGTACGAGCCACCGGGGTGAGTACTGTTAATCCCTAATTCTTCGAGCAATATCGCATTATTATTTGTTTATTATTAAGCGTGCATGATAGCATTTTTGTATTTTTATCGCGATTTCTCGGGGCTTAATTTTTTGTCAAAACCCTTTTAATACAATTCTACTTTTGAGATATGTAAATTTGGCAACTACGAAACTTTTATGTTTATTACACTCCATGTTCGTTTCTTACACTTACATTTTGAATACTCCGCACTAATTTACATCTCTTAAAAGTAGGATTGCATTGCAAGTTGCAAGAAAAATTGCCCGTGTAACATGGCCATTGTCATTTTGTCTTTCATAGCTTAAGTTACTTAACTCCGCCTTCGCAAAACTTACGGCTCGTTTGGATGACCTGACTCGGAGTTTCGAAGCTAAAGGTGCCGTAAAATAATCATTAAATGGAATATGTATACTTTTAAATCATTATACACTGGGTTCATAGAGTGCTAATTTATGTTTCTCTAGACGCTTGTATTCAAACTCATGCAGCCAGTTGCGCCCATTATTATAAATGCGGAATGAGACATGATGGTGTTTATACGATCAATCCTGATGGCCTGGGATCGTTCCGAGTCTATTGTGATATGAATGAAGATGGAGGTGGCTGGACTGTGTTTCAAAGAAGACAAGATTGAAATCAAGATTTCTACCTTGCATGGTCAGACTATAAAGCAGGCTTTGGTGATCTTAACGGCGAATTCTGGTTGGGCCTGGATAAAATACATCGTTTGTCTAAATCTGGCCAAAATGTTCTAAGAGTTGATTTGATGGATTTCAATAGTGCCGAGGCTTACGCTAAATATGGAACATTTAGTGTGGCTGATGAATCAGACAAATACAGATTGAATATTGGCAGTTATTCGGGTAAACCACACTCTTGGTAAAAATAATATAGATTCTCCTTTGAAACTTATTCTGTATACCAGCATGTACTCAGCCAACAAAACTATCAAGTATTGGTTTATAATAAACTAAATACTATACATAGGAACCGTAATAACACCAAGACGAAAACACGCGAGCATGCAAGGTTTTAGCACCTTTCGTCATTAACGATGAGGTGGAACGGTGGCATAAGCACGCCAATTCAAACTGCTAGAAGATAATCGAATCGATTTAGGCGGTTTGACGAAACTGGAAGGTGCAGAGAAGGCAGCTAGGTTCAGCAGGAATTGAGTATGAGTTAATAGCATACCTGAGCAGACGATGTTCGCGGGTATTGCAGGATTTTGGAACTTTTATTCAAGTATCCCCAGCTTATGAACTTCATTTGATGAGTAAACGAAGAAAACTCATAAATAAGAATGGTTTGAAATATTCTGCATTTCATATTTGAAATAAATAATGAGTTTTGGCACTTCACTCGATGCAGGAATATTCTAGTGGTTTAAAGGGTCTTAATTTCGAGTGGTATTATACACACTTCAAATTCAAGCCAGGAACAGTTGATGGAAAAATGAGTGGCAAGAGCATTGCACCGGCATCGCAAAAGCCTAGGTTCGATTCCTGCCGGAGGACCTATAGTTGACTCATATTTGAAATATTCTGCATTTCACAACAAAGTTTTGCCTACAAAATTTTAATGAGATCCTCAGTAAAGATTTTTTTCATCCATTTCAACCTTTCATCGTAGTCTTATTTACCTAAGATGCAGATTCGCTATTACGATTTTAGAACGAGGTCTATAAATAGCAAAGACGGATTACTTTCCAGAAGGGCCCAATTAGAATTTAATGAGCGTTATATAGAAAATTTTAAAAGTTTCTGTTTTTAAATGTTACTCATTAGGAATTTTTTATCATATTCTTAAAAGGTGACGCAGGTGATTCTCTTGCTTATCACAATCAAATGCAGTTCTCTACCAAGGATAGTGACAATGATGTTTGGAGTGGTAATTGCGCGACGGACAGGAAAGGAGCTTGGTGGTACAACAACTGTCACCATTCCAACCTCAATGGCCTGTACCTGGGCGCAGGTCGGTCTAGTCTCACTGGATTAAACTGGTACGATTGGAAAAGTTGGTATTCATTTAAAAAGGCGGAGATGAAAATTCGTCCATAAGCCAGTTTTAAGATAAAAACACTTTAATCGCCAAAAACGTGAGTTTGAGAATGTTTTTTGAAGTTTAAAGTTGGTTATTATGTGATTTAATTCCGAAATTATTAATATCGCAGTATTTTAAATGATTATTTAATTAATATTAAAGGCGGGTCAGGTCTGTTTTCCACCTCAACCGTATCGTAGCGAAACGTTGCGTATCTCATTGTTTAAGTCATTACGTTACGCTACGATACGGTTGAAGTGGAAAACAGACTTTAAAGTCGCTTCTGCGCCTCGGTTCTGCTCATGACAATGAGTACTTGTTTCAAAATTGCTCAAATTTCTCATGTTTTGTAATAAACTCTCTCTCATATTCATTTAAAAGTATACCGAACTAAAAGCGTGTCAAATATTCTGAAAGTTTTTGATATTTTAGGAAATGCATACGGATTGTAAATGTAAACAAAGCGTTTGCTAACATTACCACCAGACTGCGCCCTACCTTTAAGTGATGGTAATTAATAAATAAATTATAGCGTGCAATAATATGTTGGACAGCAGCAGTCCAGAACCGTGCACTGCCATTCACAAAGGCTTCAGAAACATCTCATTATTCTCATATATCTTATTTATTTTCATCACAAAACTTCCCGCATAATGTGATCAGTCAACGTAAGAGATCGGGAGTGTACGTTTTCGAAACGTCATGCGAGGTTAATCTGAATCAAGTCAGGGCACAAAACACAATTTGGCCGCTAACCCCGCTATTTCAGAAACTTTTAATCTGGTAGTTGATTGTCGTTGTTATATGTATATTTATCCGTATTAAAATGGGTCTGAAACTACACCATATATTACATATACCAATGTCGTGATTTTCTTATCCAATCATTAAACAAGAAAATAGGAACCTGCTTGCGAATCCTTTCTTCTCATTTCACAAAATATTTTTTTGCGCTGATGGGTTTTGCTTCATTTTCGCAGCCCCAATGAAAAATTAACTATATACTACAGAGTGTAATTTTTTTGGCAAATCTCCAGCGGGCGGAATACTATATAGCCTTTCCTGCAATCTCATTGGCTGTAGCGAGGGGCGGGATTTTACGATATCTGATCACGGTGCCGGCGAAATCTTTATCTTACGCTCGAGCGATACTATTTGCTTTTCTTTCCTACAATTTTTTTTCAACTTTTAACTTCTTTATTTTACTGAAGATATATTCTATATAGTAAATAAAACGAATAAGGTTTTTTTCGTTCTTTGTGTAACCACCGTTGCTAAGACTGTCTTCATAAATATAAAAGGTCTGATCGTTTCTTTTGATAAAAAAGTCATTATAATGTATGGGATATTAATGTACATAATATATAATTATAATGTACATAAAAGTCATATACCGTTTTAGTCGGCTTGATTGTAAAATATGTTCCTTCCGCAAAAAATATTTTTCTATCTGGACCTCCAATGTCGTAGCTAAAGAATAATAATTTAAGAAACATGACATAGAGCAACCAGGCAACGTCTTCATTTTGAATTGTAGTTTACATGTTTTCTGCAATGTACTTGTAGTTCACTCTCAGTTCCATTCACGCGGATTGCCATCGGAACACGGGTTAAATTGCGAAGTTAATAAAAGACAGTGGAGATCTTTAATGTCCGAGATCTGAATAAATCATACAAATCTCTCAAATTAAAAACATTTTAAATCGTTGCTTTATATCGGCAAACGAAAATGTCGTGACGAGCGAATCCGGTACCGTGTGAACGCAGTCTCAGAGGCGGCTAAACTTAGTTATCGAGAGGCACTTTTTTATTAAAAAGCTTTTAAGCATCAGCTAAATCGGTCTTCCGTGTAAGATGCAGAGAAAAGAGATCACAGCAAATATTCGTTTGACACCTGAAAGATGTCAAGAAATTAACGTACGTGCATTAAAAGAATCCTTCTCGTATAAAAATCTCACAGCGTGAAGAAATTATTTCACACATATTAATTTCTTGACATCTGCCTCAGGAACCTGCTTGCGAATCCTTTCTTTTCCTAATTTGAACGTTGTGAAACTATAAGATCATACCCCCTCGCTTTCATTTCACAAAACAATTTTGTTGAACGTAAGCGCTAATATAGGGTTGCTCTATTTTTTAACGTATATAGGCAATACACAAGAAACAAAAAAAAGCATTGCTTGCATGTCTTTAAGACTTTATAGTGAATTGTAAGGCACATGCCATGCAGATGGTTGAAAGAATGTTCTCGTATGTTTCCTGATGTTTGTCATTCATGTCGTGGGATTTGAGGCAAAACACTTTGCAAATGAAGCGCCAGTTCTTGGTAAGTGAATGTTGTTTTCAATGAGAAGGAAGATGTTGGAAGAACCTCAAATAAAGATTCTTTATTCAAACATTGTCTTTTTACCAATTGACCCGACCAAGACACCGCAGAAATTGGTGTTTAAGACGTTTCAACCCGAAAATCTAATCGCTGGTTCACAATTGTGCATTTCTGTATCGCCCTATCAAAGAGAAACCTTTTGAATATCTTAAAAAAGTTCAATTTTTCTTCTGAATACGCATTCTGCAATCTTTTGACAGCTCATCATACACATCTGACCGCTGTGAAATGGCCATTTTGAGGCTTAAAGTATACACAAGGTTATTAATTCAGACGATTCGTTTTTACCGTGAGCAAGCTTCAAATCTTTTGTGCAAGACATATTTTCTTGAATATTTATAAATCTTTTTCCTCACCAAGTTTGAAGTCTAAGTATCGAGAATTGCGGCTAAGCCTATACCAATTTCCGCGGTGTCCCCGACCAAGCACTATAATGCTAAATTAGCAGTAAATTACTTTAGTTCGAACAGGCAATGAATCAAAGTGAACGTGGTATTCACAAAAATGACAAATATCGTACGGCCGAAAAACGTTTCAATACCAGCACAATTTACAACTGATGTTCTAACTTTGTAGATCGGGCACTGTTAATAAGGCGAACAAAGTCATTTGTCAAATGAATGTATACTCAGTGGCGTAGCCAGCCTGACGATTTTGAGAGGCAAAGCTTGATTATTATTCCCTACACGGTGGAACCAACCAATACTTGCAAGAGCAACATTGATTACCTTAATGATTATTGTATTGGGAAGAATTAACCGGCATTTCTTGCTATATATAATGTTGCATTGGCTAATTCTCGAATCTTTAGGGTAGTTATAAATACTCAAGTAAGAAGTGTAATCAAGTCAAACAATTTAATAAAAGAAGGTTGCTCGAACCACCGTAGTTATTTATAATTGCAGAAGCAACAATGTTTTAGCCACAAGGTAATTGCCAAACTATTGCCTCCGCCATCTTGATGCTGACATTGTCACTTGTTGAGCAGGTCGGTAACTAAGTAACTTTATTGTTGTATACCAAGAACGCTTTTTATTTATAGAGAAAAACTCTTGTACAATAATATAAACACAAAATATTGTCAACGTCCCAACTCCCTAGTTCTCTCGCTCGTGTCCCATGTGCTCTGTCGAGCCCTGCTGACCTATTCCTTTGTTATTGTTGATCACTTATGCGAACTTCATGTAACAGTCACTACATTTATAAACACGTGAAACAACTGTGTACTGACCTACATCAACAGAATACTGAGCTAGCTGAACTAAATCTTGCAGAATTGAGAAGTCGACTAAGATCGATTTAAAGTCAATAAAGAAGGATGAGCATAATTATTCCAATTTCCCAATTAAATTTAATGCCAGTCGCTTGTGTGCCGATAATTTGCATTTCATCCATACATAATGTTTCTTTAACTTTTACTGTGAAATATATTGAGTGGAAAAAACAACTTAAAGTTATCAAAAAAATTGAATTTGGCCACGATTAATTTCAATATTGAAGTTTCTCGTTCATTGTATGGTCAGCGCGTGCGTTTATTTGTCAACAAAACACTCACAACAGTCTCTAACGGAGTGTAACCGTTAAATATATACATTGGAAATTCCCTATGCGTTACAAACTAGTTTCCATTCAACTCAGTGTTAAGAAAAAAGGGATAAACCCAAATTGTATGTATATGTCTGTGTGACAATTGACTTGTCGCTAAATAATTTCGGTATCATCATAGGTAGCCGGCAGCCCAAATATGCCTGATAATTTGAACGCTCGAGACTCAAGGATGCATGAGCATTACATTTGTTTGTTTATTTGGATTTTCTTCCTTTTATCATCATTCAATTAGTCAATGTCTTGCTAATGGCTAATCACGACTTAAGTGATGATTATACGTCGTTCTAACAGCTGGGTTTAAGAAAGTTTAAGTGATTCTACTCTCTACGTCAAAATAATTTAATTCTTTAAAATCTTTAAATTTGAACTTTAAAATATCATTTATGTGAAAACCTCAACGCAAAACTTTTCATTTGAGAGCTAAAGTTTGGTAAAATCATTGCGACGAATCGCGCTGGCATCAAAAACTTATTTATAAATTGCAGAAGCAAGAATGTTTTAGTCACAAGGTAATTGCCAAACTATTGCCTCCGCCATCTTGATGCTGACATTATCACTTGTTGAGCAGGTCGGTAACTAAGTAACTTTATTGTTGTGTACAAAGAACGCTTTTTATTTATAGAGAAAAACTCTTGCACAATAATAATGATTGAACACATAAAATAATGTCATCGTCCCAAGTTCTCTCGCTCGTGTCCCATGTGCTCTGTCGAGCCCGCTGGCCTATACCTGCGTTATTGTTAGTCACTTATGTACATGCACTTCATGTATCAGTCACTACATTTATAAACAAGGGAAACAACTGTGTACTGACCTACATCAGCAGAATACTGAGCTAGCTGAACTAAATCTTGCAGAATTGAGAAGTCGACTAAGCTCGATTTAAAGTCAATAAAGAAGGATGAGCATAATTATTCCAATTTTCCAATTAAATTTAATGCCAGTCGTTTGTGTGCCGATAATTTGCATTTCATCCATACATAATGCTTCTTTAAATTCTACTGTGAAATATATTGAGTGGAAAAAAACAACTTATAAAATTATTGAAAAAATTGAATTTGGCAACGATTTCCCGACATTCTGCGGATTAATGGGGAAGCCGTTTTGAAACGTTTCTGTGCTCAATTTACTCACATTGGATCATTTCCACAAGCTGCTAATTAATCTTAAAAATTTGCTCAAAGTCTGGTCTAACGATGTTGGCGAACAGTAACTCAGGTCCAGTGTACGTATGTTAACAAAATAAAAAAGAAGGAAGGCCTTTTTGTATGCATGAAACGGAAATTTATAAATGTATATATGACACTTAACCTGTTACAAATTTTTTGCTATACGATTCAAATATTCAAATTAACTCAGACATCTTTATTTAATATTTTCATAAGATGCATCTGTGCATTCACAAGAGTATTTGCAAGAGTTTTTTTGAGCTATTTTTGGCTTTTATTTAAAGTCACTGTTTTGCTATAATGTCTAATGTGACTTCAGTGAATATATATTCAACGGGACACTAACAGCTAGGTTATGAAGTAAAAAAACTCAATATATCGTAATTAGCATAACAACTTTAGGGCTTAATTACCCATTTTCCCCCTTAAACCGTGAAGCAACTTCTTATTCTTCGACGTAAAGATGCCAATTAAAACACAGCGCTTATATGTATATGCATATACTAAAGTTTTCAAAAAAATTAACAATTATTGGTGAGGTTGAGTGTGTTATCGAGAATTATCAAGCCGAAGTTTGCGTTATTCGCCGAAGCGAAGCTGAGGCGGATAACGCAAGCTGAGGCTTGATAATACTCGATATTATGCGAAAGCCGAATTCAATAATTGTTTTATCATGTATTTACTTTTTAGAGAGGAAGCCTGTCCCATTATTGACAACAAACTAGCGGTAAAAAATTACGTCACCTACGGATTATTTTCAATGTCGCGTAGGTGGCAAGACATTGAGAATCATCTGTTGGTTTTTAGCCAATCACAATCGAGATTGCATTAGTGATTCATGATAAAAAAGGTTAATTGTGCCTAATTGTTATTAGCTTAATTTTGCTTTTTAACGTTACAACCCCTGCACTTAGCCCCACTTGTTATCATCTGTTCTTTGGATAAAGAGTTATTTTAGGCCTGCCGCTCTCGAAGAAAGCACAGTTGGCGACCTTTTTCGATCATGTTTAAGATAACAACTTTAACCTTACTGGTTGTTAAAATTGCGTGTATCATTTCACAAAACTGTTCTCCCAAGATTTATAACATCATTAGAAGAGGTAAGACGTCCATATGTAAACATTTTAAAGGATTTCGACTTGTTTTAATGGCGTCATTCAAAATCGCGCTGTTTGAGATCTTGTATTTCTTTAATCATTCCCAATGTTATATTGTCTACTTTTAGAAAGTTCCCATTTACCTTCAGATAAAATCGTATCAAGTCATACTATTAAATCTGGGGCTGTCGTGATAGAATGTCACAAGTTCTGCAAAAACGAACCGAAATGTGTTGGATTCAACTACAGAATCACGAAAGACGTCCTGAACTGTCAGCTGACCAACATCACTGGAAAAAGAGATCACGCGACGTCGAAAGGAGAATGGATACTAATGGAAGATGTTGAAGCGGTATGTATGTGTGAATAAAATTTTTACAGCTGCAAAATTATTGGTCAAACCAGAAGGAGATTAAACGATTACTAATCGACCTGCTCACAATATGGCGCTGTACAATACGTCATTCACAGTCGCGGCTGATAAACAAAAGTTAATAGGCGAACTGTTTATAACGAGTGATCCATAGCTGAATAAATAAAATGCTATCGCCCTTAGATTTGCCGTTTTTCGGCATAACCTAGATTAAACCTTAGTATTCTTAAGTTGGGAGATCTCTTTCATAACTGTTGGCTCCAAATCGGTAATTTTATTGCTTTTCAGGCATGTTTTAAACCGCCAAAAAGATCACTATATATATATATTCCGGTGGATAACGCTATATCCGATTTTCGTTCATTCAGATAATTTTTCCCTATAGTATATTATATAAATCAGGCCATTATTGCACATTCGGCCCATACCGTAGCCACAGAGCAAATAGCGAGGTTACGATTATGCTACTACCACCGCTACTTTTCCAGTAACCTAAACAAAACAAATCAAACGAGAATTTTATCAGATTAACCAATCACGAGCAGAATAGGTCAACCATTTGAGCGGTAGTGGTCTTGGATAATAATAATAATTAGGAGAATCTGAAAACATTTGGTAACAAAATCACAACTCAGCTGATGCACTTGAAGCCCACACGTCGGTTAGTTCTTGTCATGCGTACTCATTTTGCGTATACTTCATCTAAACATTTCTGAAATCATTTTTATCAGGCGAAGAATGATAAGGAAGAGAGGCGAAAAAATGTGGATTCAGGTATGCCGCAGCATCAATTGATAGATTCATAGAGATGAATTCAAACACAAAAAGCCATTTTCGCAACCTGTATAAACTGACTGTAAGGAACATATACTGACAATAAAATCAAAATATGAACGCGTGATTATTGTTTAAGACGTTATTATTCGGACTTCGCTAGGTCATATAACCATATTTTCAGAAATTGTTGGCTGGCACTGGTTTCTGTTCCATGTAACCACGTATGAACAAGATGAATGAAGTGATATTTAAAAGTAATTGTTATCTTTAAATATTCCACTATATTTTTCTTTAATATTTATAGCTACCAGCTGCGCCCAGCATTATAATCTGGGGGCGAGGAAAGATGGTGTTTATACCATTCATCCTGATGGCCTGGGATCGTTCCAAGTCTTGTGTAATATGAGCATGGACGGGGGAGGCTGGACCGTGTTTCAAAGAAGACAAGATGGAAGTCAAAATTTCTACTTTGGATGGTCAGACTATGAAAAAGGCTTTGGTAATTTGAGTGGCGAGTTCTGGTTGGGCCTTGACAAAATACATCGTTTGTCCAAATCTGCCCAAAATGTTCTAAGAGTTGATTTGATGGATTTCAATGGCACTGAACGTTACGCTAAATATGGGACGTTTAGTGTGGCTGATGAATCAGACAAATACAGATTGAATATTGGCAATTATTCAGGTAAATCACTCCTTAAGATTTTCCGCAGTTGAAACATAGCCACGCGTAAATTAAAAGGTGGCTGTACTGAAGTTTTTTTCTGCGTTGAACAATCATTTGACGAATGTTTTGTTTCTAAAAACTCTTTCTTTATTCTGTCGCTCCATTACATCGTCATTTCCTTTTTCTACCTGCCTAATGTTTGGACGCCACGGGTTTATCTGGTGTGTCACACTTCCCCACAGCCATCTCACTTGCCTGTCTAAGGCGAGAACACCCGAGTGTTTTATTTGAAAGCTTGTCCAAGATAAATATTAATTTTTTTTAAATGTCACGCTTTGAGCTATGCATGTTCTTACCGCCAACGTCTTGTTTACTCTTCACGTTATGTATACGACTTTCAGAGTGTATACCTATTATTTCCCTAAAATTTTAACCTGTTTTCAGAGCTTTGCTAAAACATGCAATGTTCTCGCAAGATACTTAAGACAAGATATTAGATATCTAGTCTTCTTTCCAAAAAAGTCAATTGGGAAAAAAGATTGAACTGATCATATAAATTTTTGTTTATTTTCATAAAAGGTGACGCAGGCGATTCTCTTGCTTATCACAATGAAATGCAGTTCACTACCAAGGATAGGGACAATGATGTTTGGGAGAATAAAAATTGCGCCACAAGGCGCAAAGGAGCTTGGTGGTACAAAGGTTGTCAGCGTGCCAACCTCAATGGCCTGTACCTGGGTGCAGGTGAAAAAAACAAAACCGGAATATTATGGAGGGAGTGGCAGTACTACTCGTTGAAAAAAGCGGAGATGAAAATTTGTCCTAAGATTTTTGCACCATAATTGAGACACGATGAAACGTTTCTTTCGTGCATTGATATTTGAGTGAAAGAAAATATTTTGACCCGGATTTAGTTCTGTGCAACAGTTAGAAGCAAAATTTAAAATGAGCTGGGAACGGCGAAGTCAATTGATTTAGTTTCGCAGTTAATAAAACGTTACAATGATGTCCGTTTGTCTATAATCAATCGGTTTCACATCTTTTTTTTTCATTCAAAATTGTCACTATAGGATGCATGTGTGGTTTAGACGAATTGTTTTCTAGACTAAAATCTAAGATTGGGGCTTTTTAGCAGAGTTTCAGTGAAAAAATAGTTTTGCTGTATGCTTAGCGCTCAGTAATTTACACTATGTAATATCATAATATAACATTTATAGTACACGCATGCTGATTGGTCGAAAAGCGTGTTTTTGAAAAAAAGAAGGGAAATTACATATTCCACGCAGTGGAAAATATACGGCCTTGATATTGGGTATAGGATGCAAAAATCTGTTTATGGTAGTTCTGTGCCTTAATTCGAAAAAGCTGCAAAGATATATTAAAGATACCAGCATAGATATAAGATGTAAGCCTGACTTCAAAGTTCGTATTCCTCATTTCATAAATAGCTCTTGAGACCCAGATTAATACGTATACGATTTTTGTAAGTCCGGATTATCATTTAATAATATTTTCTTCTTATCGTTTTTCACTACGCTAACAACTTTCTGTTTTAGCGCCCTGAACATGTCAGTTTGCTTTAAACTGCTGACAATCGCAGGCCTAATCTCACGGATCTCATTTGTTTCACCTGAAATTAAGGTCAGATGATTTCAATGTCAATTCTTGCTATTGCATCATTGTTAACATTTATTTAGTTTACTAAGTCTTAACTATGACATTAATTCAGTTATTCAGGTAAAACACACCCTGCTTGGTGTGTTATTTACCATACACATAATTATGAAAGTTCAAAATTATACCATATTTCATCAACATGCGCCTTTTTATAGCTAATAACACCAGCACTAGGGGCCAGTTGTGTAAAAGACTATAGTTTTTAACAGTAGTTGAAGAGAGAATTGACCAACCAGAGTCGTGTATTTCTGGGTTAACTAGGATTTAACTATGCAAATGCATTTAAAGAGTTTGATACAACCGGCCAAGTTTTGATTTTACCATATTTATGCCTGGTTTTCGTTTTAATTGTTGTTTTGATAAAACTGTCAGGTTGCAAGAACCATGTAGGCAAAAACAACTGAGCGCCTGTGTGGTATTTTCAGGGCACAAAAAATACATGATTGAATTTTTCAAATTTAACAAGGTAATTACACCTGAAAGTTATTCCACCTTTTGTCAGTAACGATGTTGAACTTCATTTGTTAATTAAACGACTCGCAGGCGACTCCCTCGCTTATCAGAGCCAGATGCAGTTCACTACCAAGGATAGTGACAATGATATTGATAGTGATAATTGTGCTACGAAGTACGAAGGAGCTTAGTGGTACAAGACCTGTTATTCTTCCAACCTCAATGGCCTGTACCTGGGTGCAGGTCAGACTGACGGACCGGAATAAACTCTGGTTGTGTTGGTCAAGTTGGCACTATTTTTCAATGAAAAAAACGAAGATGAAAATTCGTCCAAGCCAGTTTTGAACTTAAGAGCCAGTTTTGACATAATTATACTTACTGGCATGAACATAAGTTTGAAGATTTTTTCTGCATCCTAATGAACATAACAAAATAAAGTTATTTTCGGTTGGTTATTATGCGATTTTAGTCCGTCAAAAATATGCCCCAATGCCCGAACTAATTAATATTGTTAGACTATATAATTAATGCAATTAGGATATAAAGCAGTAATTAATGTTGAAGACATATCGGACGTTTGCACGAAACAGTTGAACAACTTGTTTTTTGAATCCAAATTATAGTAAGGTAATTTATCCCCGATTGGTTATTCTGTGATTTATGTAAAATATGCTCCAATGCCGGAATTCATTCATTAATGGTACGCTTTTTATTTAATTAATTAATGTATAAGTTTATTTATACTAATTAATAAATATTGCATATGATATGTTACACGTTTGAAATTGCAAAAATTTTCAGCGGATTGCAATTAAGCACGTTGAAATAGTTTGTCTTACTTTCCCGTCACAAATCTGACAAACAAGGTTAGTTTAAAAGTTTCAATCCATATATAGTTTGCACTATAACCCCATTTGTGGCATGCCACGCAACGTCTAATTCACGAACGAAACCCGAAAATCGCTGTGTGGATATACCTTCTCGAGAATCTCGAGAATAAATTAGCTCAAAAAATGTAGAAAATCAGAGAAAACGTATTATATTCTACCACTGAATGTACGATCCAAAATTTCACTTTCTTATACTAACGCAGTTCAAAACAGCAAGTACTCTCAGCAGAAACGGGGAATAAGTTAAAGGCAAGCTGCGATAAGGTGCGTATAAAGAAGCAACGTTTCTAAGACAGTTTAAATTTGAATAAAGCAAACTCGCTAGGTACAGCAGCATGCAATCGATCTCGTATGTTACTTGTGTTTATACTTGATTATCGTTTTTACTGTATAGCAAAATGTATGGATGTAAATACTGATGAGATTGCTTTACAGAACGGTTTTTAGAAACATCCCAATTAAACTGTTCATGAGTCTAATTTTTTTTTTATATAATATGTTTATATAAAAAAAAAAAAATGTATGGATGTAAATACTGATGAGATTGCTTTACAGAACGGTTTTTAGAAACATTCCAATTAAACTGTTCATGAGTCTACTGCATGTCATCACTCCAAACCATGAATTGAAATGCAATTTAACGAAACTTTATATCGCGAGTCATGCAGAGATCGATTCGTAAACATCAAGAATCAATTTAATCGGCTTCAAACAATCGTTTAGTTCGCATACGAGTCGCTTAGCTGATCGCGTTCATTTTTATCTGGAAACTTAATTGTCATTCTTTAGTTTGATATCAGGTAAGATTATATATTACTGATATTAACATGGCATGGAAATTAAAAACTGCTATACAGCGTTGCAGTGTTAGGGTTTTCTGTACAACAAAGAACATCTGTGTATTTATATAACGCAAAAGGTTTGTTCTAGAGCGTTCTTGCTTTATTCAGATATACGGTAAAATCTGGTCATAAAACGTCAAAAATTAATCTATAAAAATGCTGTTCGTGCTTATACAAAGCATAAAAAGCAGGTTGAAACGTTTCCAACTTTCATTAAGTATATGTATTTACTTTTCGCACTTAAATCAACTTGCAACTGCTAGACCAGTTATAAGAACGATAAGTATGCATTCTCCAACAGCCCCACTTAGTTGACTCTAAGTCCCAACTCGGCCATTGAATCCGTATTCGATATGCATTTTTCATTCCAATTTCCCGTTCCCGCGAATTTGCATGATACAGTATATTATTAGTTTTGAGTCATATAGCCATAATTTCAGCCGGAAATATAAGATAGCCTTTAGATAGGGTTTATTTCAGAAATGCCATTATGATTGTGCAATGGCGGAGTGTCGAAAAATATAATACATGATCTGTCCTACTCATATAAACAAAACAAAGCGACAATTCCAAGTGCATTGCGAAATCCTGTACAGCGTTATGTATCTTGTGGCTCTTGCACAGAGTTGAAAAAACGAAGGCTCTTGCCACTCTTCTAATATTGAGTCGGGCGCAAAAAATATATATTCTAAAGCTTATGGTAATATTGCGTCTAATCTCAGCTATACCCGCGAACCTTCAGAGTCAGACATTTCAATCATTCCATAAATACGAGATCCAGGCTAATAAACGGGACCGATTTTAATAAGTTAGTAAGCCTCGATCATCATATTTCTTTCCAGTCATGTATTTCACATAGGCAAACAACTCTCTGTTTTAACGCGCTGAACATGTTTCGCTTCAAACTGCTGGTAATCAATGTCCTGATCACGTGGAACTCATTTGTCTCTCCTGAAATTAAGGTCGGATGATTTCAATGTTAATTCTTGTTATGATTCACTTTATCGTATTCTCAATTTCATTGGTTAATTTACCTGCAGTTAACCGTGCAAATAATACTCTGAGAATGAGCATTTGTTAAAAACGTTCCTCAACTCCAAATAATACTCTGAACATGCGCATTGGCTTCAATTTTGTAAACAGCAATAGCGACTCGCTTTGCTGGACTTTTGGAAAATGAGTTCTATTGCTTACTTGAAAAAAACGTGGACAATACCAAAAGATAAGTGAATGATAAAACAATTATTGAACTCCGTTCTCGCAAAATTCGTGATTTGTCGGTGGCTCGGAGAATATTTGGATCTGCTCGCCGCCGAGAAATCACGATATTTTGCTCGACCTCGTCCAATGATTAATTATTATCGCCTCATTATAGATTATCTCTAGTATCGTTCAAGCTAAATTAAAATGAATTTGTTGATGTATCTTGACAGATTGTGGACATTCAAACAGGTTATGATCCTGGCTCGTGTAGCAAGAAAGAACGTGGTTTGTTAAAATTGATCAAAGATCGTTCTAACAATGATAAACTGCTAATTTGCGTCGAACAAAATGAAGTTTATGCCTGGAAAACAACGGACGGTAACGTTTCGAGTGTAAAGTATTATAAAAGTTCGGGAATATCCTCTCAAATAATCTCTCTTTTGTGCCGTGTCTTTTTTGATCAGCCACAGAGAACATTTATTTTCATTCTAGGTTCCAGTCCATCAGGAGAATATTTCAACCCCGGCTATAACTGCACGGACATTCTGAATAAGAATTTCGAGTCTCGCGATGGTTTTTATTGGATAAATTTGAATCAAGGCGCTCCTAAAAGGGTTGGTAAATTAGTCATCTTTGAAACACCTGGAATGTTATATATGTTATTTACCAGATTGGAGGTCCGTATAGGAAATATACGGACCGACTAAACTGGTAAATAATAGATTTATATTTTTCTTGCTGTCCGAATTTATATTCTATACGGACCGCTCGCGTAGCGAATCAGATTGCAGGAAAGGCTAAAATATGAATTCGGACCGCAAGAAAAAAAATAAAATCAATTATTTTCAAGCCTCTTCAGTCTCCTCTTAATTGCTAATTTTTACCGCAGGTTTATTGTGACATGACAACAGATGGAGGAGGATTTGCGCTGATTGGTAAACTCAACAGTTCTGTAACATTGAAAGTTCCATCCAAAAACACAACAGTTGACCCATTTGGTGAATCTCAGTGGTCCAGTGATCTCGGTGACGCTCAAGTTCTTGATTTCAGAATACAAATATCAACAACAGAGAACTTAGCCAAGACAAATGCTCACTGGTAATAAGAGCAGTAACGTATTTTCTGTCGAAAATCTAACATCAGTTTCCCTATTATTTTTGGTCACTATTCTAGCAAGAAAAAAGCGTCAAAAATATATCTTATGTTTAAAATCTGGCATTCTATATATAAGATCTCCTTCACATATTTTTATCTTGCATTCTAAATGCGCTGTTACACTATGCAACTTCTTCGCAACTTGGAATGCAATTATAATTTCGAGGAATGTTAATTTTTAAAGAGTGCATGTTCGAAACAACTTTAGATGCCTCAGGAGTTGTTGCATGGTGTAACACCTCCTTGAATGCGTGCAGTGCATGTTGTTTCCTTTTTCCCTTTAAATCATCATTCTTTTTGATTTTCAGGTCCTACAGACTGCGAAATATACGTCCTCTCAAGAATATCATGATTGTTAATCAGGGGGGGGTGTGATGCGTCATCACCAGGCATTGGTGACATCGCTTATGTCAAAGATCTCCGGACTGAGAAAATTGTAACAACAAAATTCCGTTGCTCGCAATTTGGAACACATCAACATTCTTTTCTGAAAATCGGATGGGTTGGTTTTTGAGTCAAAGTTTCTTAACTGCATGCTATAGACGTTTTAATGCATGGTTCGTTTTAATGCTTTAATGTTTCCGTGGGAAATAGAAACGAGCAAGATATTATCAAATGTACAGTATTATAGTGCTATATTGTAATTGCTATATTGCTATACTATATTGTAGTCTAGCTTAGTTTAAAATTGATTACGTTTTTCGTTTTTTTAATTCAAGGCGATGATGAACGAGTGCTTCAAAAACAATGTCCTCAAGGTTTTGCCTTTCACCAAAAATTTCTAATTCAAACAGACTCGTCCGGGTCGTTCAGGTAAATAATCTACTAAACGCTATCGCCAAAGCGTATTAACGATATCTTATAAATATCTTAAATATGAACTACTAAGCGTGCAACCAGCCAGTTTGCTTTAATTTTCATTGTATTATCTATTTATAAGTTTTGAATGGTTGGTGTAGTTAGTCGCTTTTAATAGGTGGAATGGTTTATGCAGTCAGGATTTGGTATCAGTCGTTCGATTAAATTATTTTTTGTTTTTCTGTTTTACTAGCTACAGTGTGGTTGGTGATACGTCTGGGATCCGTCACAATTCAACAGCATTTATTGGCTGTGACAAAGGAGTGGTAGGTCAATTTAAGTCTTGTCAGTCAAGACTCTTAGACCTAAAAAACAGCTGAAATTAACTGGACAACAACAATCCACTGGCATAGATTGATTTTATACGACAAGCGATCTCGTTTTAAATGGAATAAGGATAGTTTCGATTCCCATATTAGTGCTGCAGTTGTTTTAGTCCACCAGAAAGCACAAAAGATCTCTGCGGCACCGACTGTAAGGCAAGACCCGGCGCTAATGTGGTAAAAAATGTTTATTCATGGTTCTGGGTAAGGATATCTTCTCCAAAGAAAGTTTGGAACAAATGCATGGATTATAAAGTTTCTGAAGCGAACGGAGACGAAGTCTGGTACAAGTTGGTTAGTCAAAACGTTGTTCCTGAGAGAGTAAGCCCGACTTCTTTTGTCGTGTTTAAAAACCGCACAGTAATCTTCTCGTTAGACTTAAAGTACTCAATGTTGACCTTCTCTTTTATTATAATTATTGTTTACTTCCTTTTAGGGACGTTGCTCTACAGCCAAGCCGCATATTTACGATGGAGTAAGTAATATATATATAAGAACTATTATTCAGTGAAGTTTTGTAAAGCCTTCCTGTGCATAGGACTTATAGAAAAGGTCTTAATAAAGGTTTTTTTCACTCTGGTTATTGAAACGATTATCATGCAAATGCTCTACCCTGGGCAAAAAATGTGGTTATAAAACAATCACAAAAATGTAAGTAAATTAGCTTGTAGGTACACTACGCAAGTATTTATTATGCAAAGTTTTCGGTCCGTTAACCCAGGCCTTCATCAGTGCAATAAGAAAAGCATTACAGTAATAAATACTTACGTGGTGTACCTACAAGCTAATTTACTTATTGATGTCACCATGCACTTATTTTCCATTAATGAAAGAATTTTTGATGTCACATTTTCTTTCAATTTTTTTCTTAGATTGTAGTTGTTCCTGACAATGCAACCATCAATAAAATCCAGCGGCTCCAGGAATCTTAACGTTCCGAAAGGACAATCAAAAACTTTATCTACGATCAAGGAAAAGCTGGAATGTCATTGCGGAAGAGAAAAAGGTGCAATTATAACTCGTAGGATCAATTTTTATATTTTTAATTCCATAATTTTAATACTTGATCAATATATACTCCGAAATTACGGCCTAGTCGTTAAGACCTTATCTGAAACAGCAATCCTATCCATTATAAAGTTTTAGTTCGTATTTTTCGTTATTCACAATTGAGTTATCAGGTTTCATTCTTAGCTTAACCAACTTAACGCCGCCGTTGCGAATCTTACGGATCATTTGGTCGCATTGAATCAGATTCTTGGAATTAAAGGTTCGACTTATACTAAATTTTATATGTTCCTTTCCGTCGTTCCCATAGATAAAAATATATTATATTGGCATACTGTTAATTAATTCTCTAGAAGCTTGTATTCAAACTCACGCAGCCAGTTGCCCATTATTATAAATGTGGCATGAGACAGGATGGTGTTTATACAATAAATCCTGATGGTCTGGGATCGTTCCGAGTCTATTGTGATATGAACACAGACAGAGGAGGCTGGACCGTGTTTCAAAGAAGACAAGATGGAAGTAAAGATTTCTACCTTAAATGGTCAGACTATAAAGCAGGCTTTGGTGATCATTACGGCGAGTTCTGGTTGGGCCTTGATAAAATACGTCGTTTATCCAAATCTGGCCAAAATGTTCTAAGAGTTGATTTGATGGATTTCAATGGCGCTGAACGTCACGCTAAATATGGAACGTTTAGTGTTGCTGATGAATCAGACAAATACAGATTGAATATTGGCAGTTACTCAGGTAAATTAAACCCTGGGTTAGATTGTAACTTTTCGAAACTTGCGGTATTCGTATATACCAAAAGGTACGCAGCGACAATTTAATTTCAACAAAAATATTTGTTTATGTCAAGTTGGGTAAAAAATATAAACCACGCAGTTTATATAACGCATGTAGGAAGATTTTAAACATATTTCATAGTTGTACTCTGGTTTTCACAGCTAATATAACACCACCACTAGTTTTTGCATTGAGCATATTAATTTTTATGCATTTTAATTTTTTTTAATAATTCATTTTAATTATTTTCGTGCAGGTAATCAAGCGATTCATAAAAATCAATTATCTTGCATTCTATACCATAAGATGGATAAGTCTCTGTGCTACTTTTGGGGCACAGTGCAAGATTATTACACATTTTGTCATTACGATTTGAAAAAGTTGAACTTTATAATTATTTGTTAATGAAACGAAGGATAACTAAGAATGGCTTAAAAAAATTCTCTATTTCATATAAATATGTCTAGCAATTTGACAAAACGCTTTAACCACCAAAAAAAACATGGCCAGAAAATTTACCGAGCGGTTGATAAAATTACAGACCTTCAAGATGATTTAGAGTTCCCCCGATTGACAAATGAAGCAGGTTTTCATACGCGTGAATGAACGCAATCCAATCGATACCGTGCAGATTAGCGGTTTAGAGATGGAGTAAACCAAACTGGTAAAATTGCAGGAAATGCATGCAGGCAATTTTGGTTTGCCTCGTCGAATTCAACCTACGTCGATGATATTTAACGGCAATGACTCAACCGCTACTGCCTACTTTGCATTTCATCATGCAAAATTTAAAAAAGTAATATTACCTTTTGATTCTTTTTTCTATTGAGGAGTTTTATTGTATTTCTTAAAAGGTGACGCAGGTGATTCCCTTGCTTATCACAATCAAATGCAGTTCACTACCAAGGATAGCGACAATGATGCTCGAAGTTATGAGAATTGTGCTACGAGATTCAAAGGAGCTTGGTGGCACCACAGCTGTTATTATTCTAACCTCAATGGCTTGTACCTGGGTGCAGGTCAGACCAGTAACAGCGGAATAAGATGGAAGAGTTGGCACTCTTATCCCAGGAAAAAGACAGAGATGAAAATTCGTCCAAACCAGTTCTAAGAAAAGGACGAGCTTTAGCAGGGACATCATAAACATATTTACTACCAAGAACATAAAGTGTGTTGATTTTTCTATAATTGTGAACAGAAAAATGCATGCAAATAAATTTGTGATCGTTTACTATCATTCTAGTCGCAAAAAATACTCAATTGGTATAATAACGGTATAATAACAGAACTAAGCCAGTGATAGTTACTAAGGAATAAGGATGCAAAAATTCAGACCTGTTTACTTGTGCTAACTTTGAGTAAGTAGTGCTTATAAAAGCAGTAACATTCTAATTTCGGGAAGTTTAAGTGACTGCCAGAGATCATGTTATTTACTTATTTCAATACCTCAAAGTCATTTCACGCCTGCTTTTAACTCGTATATCCGGGATCATAAAACTTAACCAAATGAATACGTTTGAAACTTTTGACTAAAATAAAGTTTTGTAGTAGCTGAACCTTCAAAAGATGTGCTTGAAAAACAAGTCGGAGGTCTTTCTTCTCACAGTCAAAAATATTACCATGCAGGCATCTACGAAATCTAAGGGGCTGCTTACATAAGCCCGTTTAACCGAGATTCAAAAAAGCTTGTTTGATTTAATATAGACTTATTTCAATACCTTAAAATCATCTTACGCTTCGCTAACCGGACACATATAAACAGGCCCTCAGCAACGTATTTCAAAAGATCAATTGATGAATATTATAATCATAGACCATAGCGAGACGATTCACTCCCGCGAGGAATCTTTGTAAAACAATAAATATTATAGATAGTTTTTAAGCTTTTCATTATGCTAATATTATAGCTGTGGTAATAACATTTTTTTACTAGTGACATTAAGTTCACGTATAAACGGGAGTTTCTATCGTATTTAGAATAATAAGCAATATTTATAGTGACCTCATCATTAACCAGGAGGGTTAAGCCGAGTACAAATAATCCTGGACACCGTTAACAGCTAGGGTACCGGGATACTATCGAAACAATCTTCGTCCCCAGGGCAGGGACGAGGATGTATCAAAACAGGTAAAATTTTGCAGTTGTGACGGTAGAGATTTTTAATGTCTGAGCCCTCAATAAATAAATTTGATATTCATTTTTTGTAAACTGACGTTTTGATTGATCATTTTGTATACCACGTGAGGGTATAGAATCGCCTCAATCTTTTTGTACAAACTACGCCCTTCGAGCTTGGTCTGTTCAAAAAGACTTCGAACCGATATTTCTAGGTAAAGACCTCGCGCTCGATCAATAAGGAGTTATTTATAAATCACACGATCTTATTCAGCGTTATCGACGTTAGGCTCATTGGCATTGCTTGTTAGACAAAAGGAAAATGCAGTTTACTTGCTCTTAGCAACAACTGCATTTTGTTGAACAATTCAATGTTTTCACTATGCAGAATTTTCGTATTGACGCATTTGATATTATCATGCACTGAGTGATTTCATATTTAGCCCACTCCTTAAATGGCAGCCATTTTTGATACGAGCCTGTGATTCCACATAGGAATTACGAAAGCGGTATACTCCATGAATGTAGCCCGTTTTTGTGACATCGCTGGGTATTTTAAGACACTGGTCCTGACGTTTCTCGAGCTTGCGTGAAGTTTTAGACAACACGAACGGCATGAGCAATATCAAAAGACTGGGTCAAGGATTGTGATTGGTGAGAAACAAAAACTTTACTTCCGGTCAACGTGCGTGTTGTCAAAAACGTTACTTCCTTGAGTTCATTAATGTTTTATTATATCTATTATGATAATTATTACCATCATAATTACCAAAAAGCTAATGCGTAGAAGTACAGATTATCCATTCAGAACGACGTTTTACTCAGTCTAATTCAACTAAAAGAGATTTAAAACCCCGCACACGAGAAAAACTTGCTGAGCTAACAGCCTCGTGAGGTATTTATTTAGCTCAGTTGATAGCTCTCGTGTGCGGCGGGCTTTTAAGAGTTTGCCTGATTGCTATCAGCCAGCGCTGTTCGAAAACGCATACGTATTGCGCAAGATTTCATAGCGCTTAAACACATAAGAAATCATTTGTTTGTGTCCATATTGATGAATGAAAAATAATGCACGGAACTTGTTCTTGGTTGTCATGAAGTAATGAAATATACCTGCGAGCCTAATTTCGAGAAACGTCATAGGCAGCACTCACAATAAGAATCAGCCAAATCCCTCACGGAAAAAAATTTTTTTGTCCTTTTCAACCTAGTCAAAATAACTTTCGGCTTCGCTTTTGAGAAACTAAACTATTTTTATCATATATATTTTGCCAACAACTATACGCTTTAACTACTCAATTAAGTATTTATGAGTTACGATCACTTTAACGCAAGAAAGAAATAATATATTAGTTTAGTTTTTTATATTATTGAAAGTGTAGGAGTACGTGGTGTAGTGAGACTATTATGTGGACTACAGAGAAAGGCGGTTGAGAAGGAGGATTTAAGATCAAAATGGTTTGTCCCAGGCTAAAGACTTTCTGTGGCTGTTAGCTCATGTTTTTCGGGCTGAGCTAACTGCCTCGCAAAATCGTTAGCACAGCTGATAGCTCTTGTTTGCGGCGGGCTTAATGTCAAAAGTGCATTAGTCGATAAGTGCATTATTCAACAACGAGTATGACATCCATTAAAAATGATAAAATATTCAACGTCTAGTCGTTGATATATAAAAGTAACAGAATAAAATTTTCCGCACGTCATGTGTACTGCAGTAATGCACAGCGGACGCTACAGCGTTCAGAAGAAAAAAATGTTGCAGCCTTCTCCTGCTACTCGTGCGTGATTTTGTATTTTGTTTCTTTTCCCGCAAGACATCAAAACAGAAAATTTTACTGCACACATGCGCTTGCTCATTAAATGAATAGAGTATAAAATATTCATAACTAGCATAATTACGCCCAGACCTGCTGACTTATAACCTGCTTTGTTGATTGCATGTAAGCGTCATTTCAGCGACTGCTTGTCGAAGAAAGTACAGCTAGTTGACGACCTCGTGAAATCATGTTTAAAGAAATAAGCTTGATCTTACTGATAATCAAAATTTCACGTATCTCTTCACAGAAATGTTCTTCCGAGATTTTTATTACTATTAGAAACGGTAATATCTCGGTTGCTTTTTCCTAGTTAAAACGAATCGGGTTCCAAGTGTTGGAGAACTTTTTCCTTTGAATATTTCCTTTTCCTTACCATTTTTGCTACTTTTAGGAGGTCCGTCTTTACGTCCAGAAGAAATCATATCAAATCATACCGTCAACTACGGAATTCTCCCGATAGAGTGTTACGAACTCTGCCAAAAGGAACCGAAATGTGTTGGATTCAACTACAGAGACAAGATGAATGTTGTGAACTGCCAACTGACTAACATCACTGGAAAGGGAAATCACTTTGAAACAACGGAAGAAGGGGAATGGATACTAATGAACGATAATAAAGCGGTATGTATTGGCAAAGTTACTGTTTATAAAGAGCTTGTGTGCAGAGAATATATAGCGGATAAGTCGTAAAATTAAACCCTTAACTTTTAGGCAGCAAAAAAAACTCATCCAGAACGAACGTTTAGCTAAACTTTCATGTTTTACTCGTCATACGTACTCCAGCGCAGTTCATGCCATCATTTCCAAAGGCCTCTTCACACAAATCGAATTTTGTTGGATCATATTCCCTTCTGATGGATGTTTTTATAGTCTGTTAATTGTCTTGTATATGGGCAGCAAAGCACTGAAGCTAACGCAGTTCTGCTTTATCAATTACCCACTATATTGCATACGTAAAAGGTTAATTGGATACAACAAAATTGGATCGTGTGAACAGACCCTAAAATCATTCTCTTTCAGGAAAGAAACGAGGACGAAAAGAGCAAAAATGACACTTCAGGTATTCTCAAGGAAGGACAATTGAAGTAAAACTTTCTCACCTCCTCCCCTTAGTCTCTTATGCATGCATTATCATACGTTATTATTTATTTAAAACTAATTCACAGCCTTTTAATTCCTAACAGCCCATGCATGTGTGGAACAGTCATGTCTAACGAACGACGTCATAGCGTCAAATAAGCGCTGCTTTCCGCTGTCGCGTTCTTTCTACATTCGTACACGCACGTTAAACTTAAAAATCATTTTAATGAAATCAACGATTGAATCTATGAATGCATTGGGTTCGATAATGTTGAAGATTTGGTGATTTTTTCAGCAATAAAAACAGTTTTATAGTAACTTAGAAGTTCTTTTTATTCCAACTCTCTTACGATTTTCTACTGATTCCTTCGTAAACCTATTGTTTATATCATGAATGTATGAATGCGAACCCTCTTACGTTTATAGAATATGCTGAAGTACACTGATGCTCAGTTTGCCTAAGGATTTTCTATTCATATACATGCTAATTTAACTCTCTCTAAAGACTGGAACAGTCAATTGCCAATAACCCCAGTTTTAAGGAGGATATCTCACATCGATCTTATTCTTTGATATTTTACAATTCTTTAGCCAGAAGCTGCGCCCATCTGTACGTATTAGGAGTGAGAAAAGACGGTGTTTATACCATCAATCCTGACAACCAGGGATCGTTCCAAGTCAGATGTGATATGAGCACAGACGGGGGTGGTTGGACCGTGTTCCAAAGAAGACAAGATGGAAGTCAAGATTTCTACCTTGGATGGTCAGACTATAAAGCAGGCTTTGGTGATCTTAACGGCTAGTTCTGGTTGGGCCTTGATAAAATACATCGTTTGTGGAAATCTGGCCAAAATGTTTTAAGAGTTGATTTGATGGATTTCAATGGCGCTGAACGTTACGCTAAATATGGAACGTTTAGTGTGACTGATGAATCAAACAAATACAAATTGAATATTGGCAGTTATTCAGGTAAATCAAACCCTGGGATAGATTTTTACATTTTCATTTAATCGTACATAATAGCAGGTATGCAGCGATTACACGAATCACGCTAATTTCAACAAAAATATTTGTTTATATCAAGTCATTTAAGAACTATAAATCACGCAGTTTATATAACGCATAGGAAGATTTTAAACATCATAAT